AAACTTGCCCATTATATACTTACTTGCCTTTTATATTTAGATCCCCAAAACAGTGCTGCAGAATGGAAATGATGCCAAAATTCCCCCAAACATGGAAAAGACTTGGAACAGGTAACATGGGACTCATGATGTCTGAGTACAGAGGCAAGCAAATCAATAAGCATATTTAATCAGATGATTTAGACCCTCAGGATTCACCAGAACAGAAGTTTTAAGCATTTAATTAGGTCAAACATAAATCATAGAAAAAATGCTAAAATAATGGACCTTAATTGTCAAACTAGAAATGTCAAAAGTAAGTCTTTTAACATAAGAATTAGGGAGGAGTTATAAGAATCAAAAAGGCTTTGAAACAGCCTCATATAGATGTAATCATGAACCTCCTAAAGTTTTCCTGTGCTTGATGCAGAAAACCAGTTTGCTTTTATAATTTCATTTTAAAACACTGTCTGAAGCAGATGTACCCATAAACAAAAGGTTATTTCCACACCCACTGGGTGTGAGTCTAAAGCCTGGTAGGTATTGAGGCCTACAAAAAGATGCAACATGGCAGGCAAGGAAGAAACTCTGGTAAGTTTAAACTTGGAGAAACTTGTGTTTTAACTGGTGAGTTCAAACTCTGGGATTTGAGGAAAGCTTGTGTCACCTAGGAAGAGCGGGGTGGTGGCAGATTCAGTGGTGACATTGTTGAGGTCAGCCCCAGCTTCCAGGAGAACCTGGAGACATTCCACAGAGCCGTGACGAGCCGAGAGGTGCAGAGCACACAGCCCTTCGAATGTCCTCGAGTGGATGTAGTCATCAGCTGGAGCTGCAGAGGAGCATAATGAGGGGAAAAAAAGGGGTATTTGGCAGTGAATTTCAAAATACAATCATTTTAAGAAAATAACAGAGTTATTTGAGATATGTGGCCTACAGAACACCCATGAATGTGCTGTTATCACCTCAAGTATCACCCACAATTCACAAGTATGAATTGCAATGTGTCAACTTCTCTTTATTACAGTTTGGAAACCATACAGAAAATCCCCAAAGAAGGACAAGCTGAATCTATATAACTTGTATTTTCTATGGCAGGGTAATTTAGCAGAAAACCACACTATTTCCCAGTAGGTTTTCCTTACCTGTATCAATGAGCAGCTTCAGGCACTCACTGGAATTGTGCGCTGCCGCTTCGTGGATGGGCAACCACCTCCTGTTATCCGGGACATCAACGCTGTATCCCCGATTAATCAATTCCCTCAGTATTTCAACATTCCCTTCTCTGGCTGCAAGGCCCACGGCCGAGCACCGGTCAGAATAGGCTTCTGTGAAATCCATCCCTGGCGTGGAACTCTGCAGAAGGAAAGGAGTGGAGGGGGGGGGGGAAAGAGAGATGTGTACAATATAGATACGAGAAGGGTCTTGTTTGTTTTGTAGAGGATTTGGTTTGGTTTGGAGGGAGATGGTGGTTTGGAGGGGTTAGGGGGAGGTGGTTTGTGGATTTTGAGGGGAGGTGGTTGTGGGGTTTGAGGTGAGTTGGTGTTTGTTTGGAAGGTGTTTGGGGATTTAAGGGCAGGTTGAGTTGGAGGAGAATTGGCTGTTTATGGGGTTAAGGGGTGGTTCTTTGTGGGGTTTGAGGGCAGAGGTG